CACACACCACACACACAAACCACCACCACCCCCACACCACCCACCCACCCCACACCAACTACAACCACAACCCCCCCTGGTTTGGTGTGTTACGCCCCCCCCCCCCCCCCCCCCCCTCTCCTCTAAAAGGTCAATTTTCATCAGAATGGTCAAAATTGAGATAAATACATGGAGAGATAGCCCGTCATTTGCTCTTTCATAAACGATAAAAGTGTTTCTTCTATACCTCCTTTTTTCCAAAAAATTTCAAGATTTCTGACAACCCGTATTCGAAAAACCAAAAAGTCTTTTTCGTTTTTTCTCATTTTTCACTTTCTTAAACGCGCATCTAACATTTCTCTTTCCAAGTTCATCCAATATATTAATTTTTTTTGTTTGAAACAGCATGTAAAGATGCAGCACATGACGCAGCCAGTTTTTTAAGTTGGATCCTTGTTTGTTATATATGTAGGCATTTATATAAATTGGCGGCAATTTTTCGAGAGTTTTTTCAGTTATCAAACTATCGATTCCTTGTTTTGTGCTTAAAAAGTGGCTATTTGAGAAATTGGGCATCTTCCTGCCCTGCATCTTGACATTCTCTTTCAAACAAACAATAATTTACATATATTGGACGAGTCTGGGCCGATGAATTTAGGTTGCCAAATCACCTATTTTTCGCCCTTGTTTGGTCAATATCTTCCTTAAAACTCATGATTTTGCGCTGAAAGTTTTATCATAGCTTTCCCACTTTAGTGCCAAGATATCCTCCATATTTCAGGCCATTTTAACGTTCCGGGACTGAGATCGAATTTAATTGGGGGAGGGGGGCGGGGGGCTTAAGAACTGAAGTTGGAAGCGAGCATTTGATGAATAGGAAAGAAACATCTTTTTTTTCTATCGAGATAAATATCGTTATCTTATTTCTCACTGTTTGAAACGGCTTTTCAGAAGCCCAGAGGCAGGACGAAAGTATTCGTGCTTGGACTTTTTGTACTTTTTCAAGTAAAAATATTTTGCTTGTAGCTGAAAAAATCTACTTGTACTTATACTTAAGTACGACAAAAAGTACTTTGTACTTTTACTTGAGATATGAAACAATTTCTTTTTTGTATCTGAAGCATCTTTCTGCTCAAATAAAACTTTGGTACTTACTCATAATGCTAAAGCAATGTCGTAAGTGTCATTGTTCACGATGTTCAAACCATAAGTTAGTGCGTGTTCCTGGTTCAAATATTGATATTGGATCTTATGTAAATTTTTCTTAATGTTCTGGAGCATTATATTTAGTTTAGTCATGTTATAAAGTCGAACAATGAAAACACAACAGTAAGGAACCCATACCAGTTCCAGCTCTTTGCAAGTGGGACTATGCTGTCACATCCTTATAGATGTCTTGTACAAATAATCCGTATTGAATTTATCAGCACATTACAAATAAAAGCTCTCATTAAAGTATTATATTGTTACTAACTTTTTAATAAGATGATAATATTTTAATCTTTGAAAACTTTTCAGAGTTAGTCAATCTTACCAAGGAAAATTATTTTATTTATTCGTCAAGTAAAAGTACTAAGTACCTTTTTTTGTACTTAAGGACAAGTACAAAAGTATTTTTCTAGAAGTACAAGTATAAATGCAAGTATAATACTTTTACTTGCGGTACTTGTACTCGTCCTACCTCTGCACTGTAAAAAAAAAAAAAGGTACTTTCTGGAACCTCAAAAAAGGTTCGGTAGATGGCAAAAAGTTTGCAAATGTGTTGAAAGTTTCAAAAAACGAATAAAAAAAAACCGGAACCTTTAAAGGATCTTACCATGTACCCAAGTGAAGATCCTTTTTTCTTCGAAACCTTTTTAAGTTCCGTACACAAAAAAAAAGGTTTTGCAGGAAAGTACGAAACCTTTAGGGTTTCGTATTGAACCTCGAGGTTTCGTACTGGGTTTCCTATAAAACTATTATACTAGATGCGAAACTTTAAAGGTTTCGTACTTTCCTACAAAACCTTTTTTTTGGTGTACGGAACTTAAAAAGGTTTCGAAGAAAAAAGGATCTTCACTTGGGTACACGGTAAGATCCTTTAAAGGCTCCGGGTTTTTCTTTATTCTTTTTTCGAAACTTTCAACACATTTGCAAACCTTTTGTCATCTACCGAACCTTTTTTTGAGGTTCCAGAAAGTACCGTTTTTTTTACAGTGTGCAGGAGTCGACATGTCCTATAGATTGTTTTCCAAAGTTTGCTCTGAAATGTTTTTCAGGAAGACTTTTTAGTATATTGGATCAATTTCACTGTTTCATGTTTCTGAATTTACTGCGTGTGGCTTTCTTCCAATAGTTTTCACTTGAAAAAGTATGGCATAGAATTTGTAGTAGTTAGTTAAAATTTCTACATTCTCAGTGATAGTGTATACTGAAACAGTCTTTGTCCTTGCCGCACAATTTCTTGTAGTATAGTAGAAATTAATTCTATTGAAACTTATTATATGCTGCAGGAACAGAAATTTTCATCTAGATTTGCCGGAATATGAGAATATGGCAGTTTTAGTGTCTACTTTCACCGTACTTTTGTAATACTTATCTACTTCAACTAGATATTGGCGGTTCCGTAAAACTAGAATCGAGAACCGAACGAGAGTTGGCTTGTTTGGAACTCCTGAAACCCGAATCAAAGCCAAAATCGTGAAAGAAAACACATTTTGACTATTAAAGAAACCAGAAAAGTTAATTTATCAAATATATAGACAAATTCTAAGAGTTGATGAAGCAATGGAGTATAGGAAACAGCGGATAAAAAATAAATTTTTCTTTTTTTTCTGCGTATTCGAATCACCAATGTCTTAACTTATCAATTTGAAAATTTTAACTTCTAATACTCTTTCTTCGAAAAGTTAGTCGATGTCAACTGTCAGCACTGCCATATGTTTTTGAGAGAAAAATAACAAAAATCTGCCCTGTCAAAAATATGTCTGTTTGCTTTTCAGCAGACAATTTTAATATCTTATGGAACATACCAACAGATAGAATATAAGCAATTGAAAAAAACTTACTATTTAAAATATTGTATTTCATGTATTTATTGTGGTTATATATTCTAACAAGGACGAAAACTAATACAATTTATGAGTTTATGATAGCTGATTTTTGCCACTACATCTGCTGCCATTTTTTCAAATCAAGACATGTCAAGCTAAATTTTTGATACGTTATGTAACTTTTGATTCTCCATAAATTGGTAAAAGATATTAGAAAACATGTTTACTATTGACCGGAAAAGTTTCTATCATTGTCTATAATCCAGTGAATACCTTCAAGGAAAACAATCCGTATGATTTTAAAATGTGATTCAGTGATGAAAATTTTCCTCTCAGAGAAATGAAGATTTGACCCTAGAGAGAATGATATGGACAGTTTCCTCAATATAAGAAATAAATTTTATACCTTGGTTCACCCCTAAGGAGCAATATGGAAAATTTCGGAAAAAATGTCTTTATGTGTAATCCAACAGTAGTCATCCCCAATGATAGCTGTGGGTATAGGCATGTGTGGGTGCATATGGCTTTGAGTACTAATATACTCTGCTCTCAGACCAACATGCACATACCCACACCCACACCTTCTGACTGATTCAGACTCTGTTTCGTCGGGAAAACTATTGAATTTATAAAAGAAGACTTCTCAATAGGAAACTTTAAACCAATGGTTTCGTTGTAAAGTATACCTTACGTCTACAGTTTCGTCGTCTACTAGGAACATTAAGATTATATTAACATTCTTCAGTAACGGATTCTTAGTGCACTGTTGTCGAAAAACAGGCTATCTTTTCTGCGGATCTTTTCCGAAGGAAAACTGAAGTGAACTTTTTACATCGGCGCCTGTCAGGAGCACCACTCACACTTAGGTGCTGTCTGATTTAAATGCATATCGGCAATAAAAGATTATTGTCCGTACATAAGAAGTTTTTTTCAGTCAAAAAATTAAACACACAATTCTGACAAATTGAGTATAGGTTCATATTCCTCGAACCCGATCACCTTTGGTCAAACTTTAAAAGAATCGTTATTTTCGTAAAAAAGTCGTTCCTTGACGAAGAAAACTCAAATTCAAGATTTTAAGAAATTGACTACAGATTTTAATTTCTCGACCTGAATTACTTTCGATCTAATTTTATGAAAAACCGTTAATTTTGAAAAAACCCTTTGTCTGATGGAAAAAAAAAGAAACTCAGAATATCAAAAAGCTGGTTACAGATTCGATATCCTCCACCGCAATTATCTCTAGTCAAACTTTATTAAAAAAAATCGGTATTTTCCTAAAAACTCCTTTCCATGGCCAAAAACATCACACTTATAATTTTGAGAAACTGATCACAAATTTGAATTCCTTGACCTTAATTACCTTTGCAGATATTGCCTTCTCTGATTCTACACTAATTACTACATTCTAGCTTATAAGAAGTGTCGAAAAGTTCAAAGAAAAAGTAATCATTGACTATTTTTCGATATTCTATTAGACAGGAATATGCCGCACAAGACTTTATTCTTCAAATGATAAGTATGCTCAGTACTAAAGTTAAAAATAGAAATTTTTGTACGGAGAAACTGAATATCGTCTAGCCCGCTTCTGAATACGACGCTGCTATTGCTTAGAAGTCAGAGTCTGAGCAGCTGTAAGCTGGGAACAACGGACTTCAGACTGTAAAATCAATATTTAGACGTGAGTTTCATACAGCAGGAAATGTCCGCAATCATTTCAACAAATAGATCAATAATTTCAAAGTATTGATTTTCGAATCCTAAACCTGGTCTATATTGTATCTTGAGCTGACAAGAGCTTTCTATATAAAGATCTAGAACTAAACTAAAATCGACTTATCAGCGAGTTACGAGGATAATGTTCGCGACATGAAGAAGTTTTGAACCTAAGTACATATCAGTCTTTTCATTTAGCTT